TGGAGTATGTGTGGGAGTGGAGTCAAGGGAATTGTAATACATATGTATGATATTGTGGGGGGAAGTGGGGCGGTGGATTGGGGGTGGGGGGTTGTCACCTCGAGGGGTAAAAAGTATAACTATTGCACTGTGTTGTACAGCTGAAACTAATTCTAAAAAATGTGTATTTCACAATAAAAGATAATTAAAAAAAAAAAAAGAGTACATCCGATATCCTAACCCCTCTCTCCCACAAGAGTTTCACAAAGTCAAACCTTTTGCCTGAGGACAACCACATGATAACATATGAAAGAACCGTGTCAGTTCATCACCACTGCTATAAAGCTCAGAAATTCATGCCAAACTGACATAGGCTGATAGCATCCTTTTTATACCCAAGGAACAATCATCCTCAAATATCCAGCCTATGTCCACCATACTGGAAATTAAACTCAATGGACAATATAGGGCCCCTGGCATTTCATTATGGGGGTTTCAGCAATTTCTAGGCAATAAAGGATTAATAGCACAAATGAATAGCTTGCTGCTCTCCCTGTTCCTTGCTAAAAGCTTTAAAGAGTCTTAATTAATGTCCCTTAGCAAATAACTTGAAAAAGAAAATTAGAGCGATCCTAACTACTGTACCTGTCAGCAGTGTCCTTTCTGTATTACCTGGATCCACACCGACTCATTGGTGGGACCTGCGGCCATCAGTTTCTCCAGGTCGCCTTTCCTGTCATATTGAAAGATGGTCCCTGCCAGCTTGTAGTTCCCATTCCATTGGATAATAAATCCTCCATTGAGGTAATATTTTTCAGGGTCTTCACTCCTGATGGCTAGAAAGTTTCCAGCTCCCTCCACCTCCATTACCCGTATGTCCCTTGCTCCTTTTGGAATCAGTCCGATGTCAACATAGCCTAAGGAGAGAAGATACAATAATGAAAGAGGCGCGCTAGCTTAGCTGAACACAATCTGTTTCTGATTCATCATTCATCGTCTTCCCAGCATCTCCATTACTTAGTTCCCTTACCCTCCTACTGGGTGGTCACTGGGATGAGTAGATGTGCTAAGTACATGGGGCTCTTTAAAGAGCTCGGCCATCCATGAACAGAACACCCAGGAGCTTTGTGACTCAGTATGTAAACAGTTTTGTGAAAAGAGGTGAAATAAATGCAGATTGGACTCTGAAGCTTTGGTGGTTGATCCAGCATTTATTTTTCTGTGATTTTATGTTAATAGTTCAAAACTTGACATCCCCTAGCTAGCTTCCCATTAGCATCTCTGCTCCTCCATTTGTTGCTGCTGTCAGGTTAATCGTCATAAACATTGCATTGGATACATCCTTTTGCTCATCCTCATTGCCTGCAAGTTAAAGACAGGCTATGAGAAGTGAATTCTTTAAGAGAATCCAGGAGGAAATTTGGATTGATTGCTACCTGGTGCTCTTGAATACATCTTGAGATAAGAAACTCAGGTCTTAGCACAGCTTTTTATATTGCTGGACAATTCTATTCATTAGAAAGGGTTTTGTTTTGTTTTTTTCTTATTTTTTTCTTGTTTTGCTGGAATATGATTTTATATTTTACTTTCATTTCTTCCAATTCAGCCTTCTGAAAAAGCACAGAGGACATCCATTTGAAGACGATGAGCAATTCTAGCCAGTCTTTTCCTTGCTTACTGGTTGTTATGGTAGGGGACAGAGTGGGGAGGAAAAGGAATTAACACACAATGGTTTCCTCTCTTTGGCAGCACATGCTCAGCACTTTATGGATTCATCCTGTTTATGCTTCTTGAGAACCATCACCTCCTAAACACAATAGGATGGGAAAAACATGGGCTTTGGGGGTGGCACTGTGAAGGGAATACTGTGGCCTGGGAGTCTGAACACTTGAGTTCTAGTTTCTGCATCGCCATGAACAAACTCTGTGACGTTCATCAACTTATTTAACTTCTCTGAATGTCATGTGTACAATGAAGGGGCTCGAATGAGGTGATGTCTGACATCCCTCTGTTATTCCATTATCTTGCCCTTTTCTAAGCTAAACATTCTCAATTCCTTCAACCTTTGCATATAAAACATGGTTGTAAAACCATGACCATCCTGGTCATTTTCCACTGACTATACATTAGGTTTTTTAGCTTGACAAGCAAACCCTCATGTCTGTCACCTGAATGTGGCCTGAACACTCCTTTTCCCCTGGACACTAAAGTAGCATGGGGTCCTGGGGGCTACAACAGTGGGATGGCCAGCAGGAAGGATTTGCTCAGAAGCTGGGTACAGGCCACAGACTCAGTCCCATTTTTCAAACTGGCAGCTCCCATCCAGAGGAACCAAAATGTGAGTCTTGTGGTACTTAATTAAATTCCATTTGGGCCTCACACACTTGCCTGAGACAGCAGGTTAAAACTGCTAGTGTCTAACTAGCTCAGGGGAAATATTTATCACATGTAATTGAGGCTAATGTATATTTTTTAAAATGCCTTTGGAGTGTTGCTACCTGCAGCTATTTTCTGACTTAGGATATTGCATGGCTTCTCACAGTAAAACTCATGTAGGAAAATCAACTGGCTACCACCTCATCCCTTGTTTAAAAACAAACAAAATGAGAAGAAAACTAGGTGGAAAAACCAAAGAGGAGACTTTGCATTTTATCTTCTATTTAAGAAAGAAAAATCCAAAATTATAAACATGTATCATGGGCAGATTCTGCCAGATTGAAAGGGAAAGTACATCAAATTTAAAATAAAAGTTTCATTGACTGTAAACGCTGTTTCTGAACAGTTCATAGACAGAAGACTCAAACTGAATCAGATTTAGCCATGAGCAAATGTAATACATGTTTGTAATATATATTTGCAAAAGAATACTGAGAAGAAAGCCAAAGGATAAAATAATATATATAGTGATTCACAGTTAAAAAAGAACCATGATAAAATACGGACCAGACTCCCTTCCACGGACAGAAGACCCCACAGTAGAGAGGGGTGTAAAATGAACAGTTTTCATTTCCCTCCACCTCTGGTCCGCTGTATCAAAGATAATTATAGTTAACAGTTTAACGTAATAGTTCATTTTCTTACAAAACTTTTCTTTGCATATATAAGCATGTATAGACATACATTTTTAAACAAGTGGGATCATACTATATGAACTATTCTAACTATTGCTTTTCATATTTTTTGAGCATATCAATAACTGCAAAAATGACATAAATCCATTTATTTAACCAATCCCCTGTTAATGGACATTCAAGTGTGTGGGGGGTGGGGGGTGGGGGATGGCTACCAACCTCTTTATCTCAAAAATGAGGAAACTGAGTTCCCAAGAGAAGAAATCTCTTCTAGGCCACATCACACAGCTAGGGGGCAAATACATATACCTATAATCACGGTTTACTGACCCCTCATCTAGTGTTTTAATGTAAAAAAATGTCGTTGGCAGACCAGAGATGAAGAACAAATCCTGTGTGTCTCATCCTCATGGCCTTTGCAGAAATGAGAATCATATTAAAAAGTTACAGGAGTAAAGGGTTAGTGAGGCATTATTCTATTTCGAGGGAAGGTTTTCAGGGTTGGTAAGACTATCTCCAAAGCATTAAGAATGATGAATATATTCATTCAGCAAAATCACTTTTCTTCCATCTTTCTCATTTTGAATTCTTTGAAAGTCACAATCTGCTTTAAAAAACACTAAATCAATTTTTCCCTCCAACTCAGTCCCCTGCCACTTCAATTATTTCTTTGTTTCTTTGTTACCAGATCCTTCTTTCTGTTTAAACATCTTTCTCACGGTCTGGCAGGCAGAGCCATCCCCAAGGCACACTCCGCAGCGATCCTCTGTGGCGTTGGAACCGATCTCATAGTCACAGCCAACCCTCTGCAGGAAGAGAGGTGGAGGATGAATAACACAGGCAGGAGAGGGCACACCTGCCTTGGATCTTGGACTTCTCCTACCCCGCTTTGCTCTTGATGAGATGAGGGTTGGGGGCAGATACAAGAACACATGTTTCTTTTTCCTGGTGGCAGCAAAGGAATAACAAAGCATCCGCTGATGGTAAAGAAAAGACTTGCTTAGAGGAGTAAGAGGTACACACTGAGTGGGTCTCCAATTTCCTGAGTCAGAGGCAGAATTGAACACAGTTAAAAAGTTTCACTATGAAAATGTCTTGGAATCAAAGTGGGCAGAGCAGCAAGTCCCTTTCAGATGTGCAAACCTCATGCCCCTTCTCTCTACGAAGACTTCCCAGGGGTGGTGCAGTTAGTTATTCCTCCTATAATTTGGTGGGTCGATCCCTTTACATTCCAAACTGGGCTATTCTCCCTGGTTCCTGTCTGTGGACAGCAGGTGAACCGTCAGCCATCAGAGAAAGGCTAGCTTAATGCTGAGACCATTCCAGTCCATGAGGGATGAAATCACTGACTTACAGACCCATCATCAGACCCTGCAGAGCCTCCTATGATCCTAGACCCCACTGCCCTTCACATCTAGCTGTATCCCAGCCATCCTTCCCTCCAGCTGCAAAGGAAGAACTGGCCGTTTCTCCTCTGAGCCAAGACTAATCTTGCCCTGTGCGCTGGACCAAATCCCCTCTCAGTGTTCTGTCCATGGGTCCTCCTGTCCATCATCCTTCCCTCTCTGCTGATCCTTCTCCTCAGTCCATCAATACAGCCAAGTCTTTCCCATCCTAAAATTCCCATTCTGGAAGAAGAGAGCATCTGTGTTCGGTAGCCTCAGAAACCAAAGAATCATGACACTTTGACTGAAAGTTAGAAAACATGGGAGCTTCAGTTGAACTTCTACCATGGCCTATGCTCCTAACTGCACGTCAGTGGTTAAAAACAAGAGGGGAAAGTATACCATATTCTATTAGACTGTTCTTTTCTGTTTGGGAAGAAGAACAGTGCTCAGGTAGTTTTCTTTCTCTCTCCAAGATAATCCCCTTTCTTATTTGAAAGCCACCTCAAATTGACTGACAGGAAGAAGAGTTTGGGTCTTTAAATAGACCCTCCCTCCACCAGCTAAACAGGGAGGTTATGCCCACTGACAGAAGTAGCTCCACTCCTCAGGTTAACCATCAGTAATTTCCTTTAGGGCTAAAGATTGTGCTAATTGACCCAGATGCAAACAAACAAACAAAAAACCGTGCTAAGAGATTAAAAAGACTTACTCATGCTGATCACAATGGAAAGGAAAGAAATAGGGTGTGAAGCCTTCGGTGGTTGTGAGTAAAATGCCAAACCTTCACAAGGGCTGTGTTTTCATTGAGGTGGACCGTCCTCTAATAAACTGCCCTTTACAAATCATATTCCCAGTGACCTCCTTTCCTGCACTCATTGGAACAGGCCAGGGAAACTTACTCTGAGACCTATTCATTTTAAAGTGGTTTTTAAAATCTCTACCAAATGGGAACAGATAAAAAATGTGAAGAATGAAGGAAAGAAAGCCAGACTAACAAATACCTTGAGCCCATCTTTCTTCCCCCAAAATATTTATGGGCATACATGGGGGGCGGGGTTGGGGAAGGAGACACACACACGTCCCTGATATGCTGTCCCACAGCACATTAAATGGGTTCTTGTGAAGACTTCACCCCATTTGCTTCTCCCATCAGTTGCACCCGGCACAATCAACGCTGACTCAAGCATTTAACAGAAGGCCTACGAAGGCGTAAGCCAGTCCTCCTTGCTGCACATAAAACATAAGGGCGCTCAGGGGAAAACAACTAGATGTCATCTCCTCTTTCAGGCCATGTGCTCCGGCCACAGGGCCCACAAAAGCATTGTCCCTCTGCCTTCAGCAGAATCAGAGGTGACTCTGCTGCTGCTGCCAAATGTGGACAATGACTCCAACACGGCCCTCCTCTGGCTCTTATGATGCCAGGTAGCCGCCCCAATGAGCAGCATTTTTGAAAAAATAGAAAATCACTTTAATTTTCCATCATATCATCATTTCTTTCTTTAAAAAAACAAGCTTTATGGGGGTATAGCTGATAAACAAAATACTGCATATATTTAATGTATACAATTTGATGAGTTTGGACCTGTGAAACCGTCACTGGAATCAAGGTAACAGCCATATCCATCACCTCCAAAAGGTTCCTTGTGTCCCTTTTGTGTGCGTGTGGTGAGAGAACGCTTAACATGAGATCCACCCTCTGAACAGATTTGTAAGTGCACAACGTGGAGCTGTTAGCCACAGGCACTGTGCAATACAGCAGATCTCTAGGACTTGTTCATCTTGTGTGAATGAAACTTCATACCCATCGAATCACAGCTCTCCACTGTTCCCTCTCCTCAGCCCTGGGCAACCACCATTCTGTTCTCTGCTTCTATGAGTTTGACTATTTTAGGTTCTCCTATAATTGGAATCATGTCGCATTTGTCCTTCTGTGACTGGCTTGTTTCACTTAGCCCTCCAGGCTCATCCGTGTTGTCACAAATGGCAGGATTTCCCTCTTTTCTGAAACTGAATAATATTCCATGGTATATCCATAGACATATACCACCTTTTCTTTATCCATTCATCTGATAGACATCTGGATTGTTCCCATATCTTGGCTATTATGAATCAATGCTGCAATGAACACGGAAGTATAGATATCTCTTCAAGATCCTGATTTCAATTCTTTTGGATATATACTCAGAAGAAGAATTGCTGGACCATATGGTAGTTCTATTTTTAATTTTTTGAGGAACCTCTATACTGTTTCCCATAGAGGTTGCACCATTGTATATTTCCACCAACAATATACAAGGGTTTCAATTTCTCTACCTCCTCGCCTACAGTTATTTTTGTCTTTTTTTTAATAGGATCCATCCTAACAGGTATAAGGTGACACCTCATTGTGAGTTTGACTTGTATTTCTCTGTTGTTTAATGAAGTGGAGTATTTTCTCATATGTATATTTTCTTTGGAAAAATGTCTTTCAAGTCTGCTCATTTTTTAATCGAGTTATTTGCTTTTCTGCCATTGAGTTGTAGGAGTTTCTTACACATGTGGATATTAATCACTTATTATATATATGGCTTGCAAATATTCTCCCCCACTGTGTAAGTTGCCTTTTTATTCAAATGGCTATTTCCTTTCCTGTGCAGAAGAATAGCATTAATTCTTGACTCTGTCATTTGGACTGAAGAATATCTTGAGTATTGGAGAAATCAGGTCCCAGTCTTTCACCAGGCTATAGCCCTACATGAGTGAATAAGTAATAGATATTCCTACCAATTATCTTTGGGATTTTTTTGGGGGTGAGGGGTTGGTTTTTTGCTTATGAGTTAAGATCGTTTTACTTGTAAATTCTTACGTGACTGAGAACTGAAATGCCAACTAGTGCTATGACCTATCCACCTGGAATGTCATCATTTCTTTCTACAGTCCCTTGGCAAAAGTAGAGACTGGAAGAATGCCTGGTTCTAAGATGAGATTCACTCCCAGGCAATGAAACTTTTAAGTGTGGAGACAGTTAGGGCACAGTCATGCTTAACTGAAAAGAACAGATAAATGATTTTGCCATTTAATAAATGGGACAGCAGCAATAATGCTTTCCTCACCATAACTTTGAGGACCAAGAGATAGGATCTAGCATTATGGAGAGAAATTTGGCCCACAGAAATTGATTTGGGGGTGTTCAGCATATCACTGAAATGGCCAATATGACACTGAGAGAGAATAAAGAAGGGTCAGGACAGTTTTTATAAGAATGAGAGAAAAAGCTAACTTTGGACAGGAAGGTAGAGTGTCAAATAAGGTTAAGGACTCAGCTGGGATTGAAGACATTTGATTTTTTAAGGGCACAGATTCACAAGGTTGGCTTTTTATTTTAAGAAATACCCAGTAAGCTGATGTAAGATAAAAAAACGATTGTGGTTGGTTGATCAAAACCAGGGTCTTGGGGTTACAGATCGATGGAAGGCTAAGAGGAGAAGTCTAGGGGACAGCTGATATGATAGATAGGGGCATCTGGGCCATCTGGGAAGGAAATTAAGCCAAAGGCATGCTGGCTGGAAGGAAACGGAAGAGTGAAGGAAATGAAAGTCAAAGAACTGGTTACCAGAAAAAAGGGGTAAGATTGCTGGAAGGTTAGCAGACTGTTCTAAAAGATTATCCCATGTCATATGTGTGATTAAAAATGGGAGATATACTGAAAATACCAAGTTTAAATTTATATCTTTGATAAATAAGCTTAGGAGCTCAGCCCAAGTTAAAAAAAATTGGGGAGAGCACAAATAGTTACCTCCTAGCACAAATTCAGTTTTGATCAGGGCTTGATCATTCCCTTGACAATAGAATCTGCAAATCCAACATGCCAAAACGTTGGCAAATATCATAACTTCATAATGGACAGCTGGATAAATGAACATAAGCAAATATAATAAATATTTATATAAATATAACCAAATGTATTTTCATATCCACAGAGAAGATAGATTATCTAGATAAACACTGTGTACATTATTTTCCTGATGGTGTTATCATTTTATTTCAATACATGTTGAATTCGCTCTGAACAATATAACTACAGTAAATGAGTGAGACTAATAAAGCTGACTATTCTAAAACCTGGATCTTTGGAAGATAAACTGCATTTAGGCTATTACAGTAAATTTGATTTGACATAATTCTTCAGCCTAAAAACTTAACTCAGTGTGGTATAGACAGAAAGTGGTTAATTATAGCTTCAAAAAGGCTTTAACTGGTTTCCACAAAGAACAAAGCAAGCTGAGAGAATCTGGCTTATTCTATTAAAATGATTTAATTGGTTTTAAGAGAGGCATCCAAGATCCCTTATGCTTTGTTCAAAATGCCTGTTTTCCATCACAAGGTAAAGATGCTGTCTCTATGAATGCAAAGGTATTTAGGTCTAAAAGATTATTTTAGTATCACATTCATTTCTCGGTGACTAAGTTCTCAGCCCAAGCTGTACATTGCAATCTGCAGGGGAGTTTTTAAAATATCAATGGCCAGGCCCCAAATTCCAGAGATTCTGAATTTTGAGCGGGAGCCAGACGTCAGTAGTTTTAAAAGCTCTGCAGGTAATTCTAATAGGCAGTCAAGCCTGAGAACCACTGCTATAGACAGTGGCGGGGCTATTTTGGCCTGAATTAGTTAAATCAACCTTTTCTCGCTCTGGGGAACACATCTAACCTAAAATACGTTAATTATTTTGGGCTCTTTGTAGTTACAACGGTAATTAGTGAGTCTGAAAGGGAATTTTGCCGGGGCTTTTCTAAGCTAGAGTCTGATTATGGCTTGCTGTTGGCTCACTCATTCCCGGGAATCAGCATGTTGCCTCCTGTGCTTTGATCACTACTGGAAGAAGTCAAAAGGCGACTTCAAGTTGATAAATGCACCTTCCCAGGGTGCTGAACATTTATGGGCAGGAGCTTTTTACAGTGGCAATTGGGTCCAGTAGGGAAAAAATCATGACAAAAATATTTGCAAAAACAAATAAAATGTATTAAGAGTGTATTATGTGCCAGGGCTTTGTTAAGGGCTTAACATATATGACCTTATTTAATTGTTTCGATAACCCCAACTAGAAAGATATATTAATATCCCGATTTTATGTAAGAAAACAGCCTCAGAAAGATGTATAGGGTTATACAGCTAATAAACAATGGTAATGAGTTCATATTCTAGAGCCTGAGCACCAAACCATTATGCTTTACTAACAGTTAATTAGGTATTTCTAGAGTAGAGTTTTTCTTTCATTGATTAAAAACATCTTTTTAAACTGAGCTTTATGCCAGGGTGTTGGATCACAAAAGTTCATCAGTTCCTTACAAAATAGACTGTGAGCAATGGGAAGGAACTCTCCAATGGTTGTACATATGAAAGCATTAATAAATCAAGTCTAAGTAATTTACATACAGATGGAGTTGATTAATGGAGTCATTGTGGAAAAGCTAAATAGAAATCAGAAGACCTGGTTTATAACTACCTGTCACACCATCTCTCTTTCTAAGAAGATCATGTTGGTAATCGATGGCAAATTAACTGTAAAAAATACTTTGTGAAAAACACTATATAAACTATTATTAATTTCACTTTTTCCTCAACTTTACCTACTCTGTTGGCGAGTAACCGGTGAATAATTTAATGCCACCGAAAAGATCTGGGTTCCCTTTTCCTAATATTTCTTTCTTTAATTTGGTTCTTCTACAATTTGACATTGCTCCATGTCTAAAATAATATCACAGAGCACAACAAATCAAGAAAATGAAGACAACAGCAGGAGGAAAACTATTCAGTTCCAAACTGTGTTTTTGATATACACTGAGAAGTCCAGGAGGAAAAGGTTAGAACATCTGACTTCCTGAATTAATAAAAGCATGCTTTGATAAAGTTGTAGATTAAGGAAACATACCCAATACCTTACATATGCCATTAATACAGACATTTCTGCTGTTGCCACCTTCAAAGCAAGGGGTACCATCAATGACAGCATCCAGCATTTTCTCGGAAAACTGGCCATCTATGGGTCGGCAGTAGAGCTCACAGGGGTGTGCTGAAGCGAAAAAAAGAAAAATCCTTGCAAGTCAGCTTTTTAGCTCAGCACCCTTCCCTCCAGGATACTTTTGTACGTGTGACCCCAAGTGTCACTGATCGGGGGATTCCCATGTCTCACCTTTCTGTGACACATGCTGAAATGTAGGCTTTTTTCTTTCTTCAGTTAAAGACTTTACCACACATTAAATTGGAAAGGTTGCTTTGAAATGCTATGCCCTTTGTTATAAACGATGAGATCCTTTAATCTAACACTGAACATTGATTGTAAAAATAAGGTACTTCACATCTGGTGTTAGCCTAGAAATTAAATACTATCAACCAGTGATGCAGGATTTTGGGCAAGCATGACATGTGCTCATTGTTTGCTGCAAAGTAAGTAGATCTCCAGGGGAGAGGCAGTCTCCTCCCATGGGACTAGCTCACCATCAACACTACTACCACTATTGTAACTCTACTCCCCAACAAATATTCTCCCTTATTCTCAAGCCCAAGAAGTCCTTGGACACAGATTTAGAACCACAAAGAAACAGAGGGATCTGCTTTTATGCCGAAGCTGAAGCCAACCTGCTTATCACAGTGATTCATCCATCATTCTGGGTCTTATATTGACTCTATCCTCAGGTCCAATTTTCTATTCCCTATGAGTGCTGGGTGATCTCTAGTGCAGAATGGTTCTGAAGATTTACTGAATAAAATATGTACCTATACATAGGTACTTGGAGTAACCAGATAGATCATTTTTAAAACATAAATTGTCTTAAGCTTTTTAATAGGTCATACATGTATATGATAAGAACTCAAATAGTAATTTTCTTTTTGAATGTTATGTCTTGTTTTCTTTAGGTGAAACACTTGAGAATGTCTTCTTCAGAAAGGTCATTTAGGGATCTCTTCTGGATCTGCATGTTATGGGAAGAGCTGTTAGTTTCCTGGTGGTCTGACCAGCTGAGGGCTCAATGAGATCAGCTATAAGGCCATTTGCCATGGACCCACTTCACTGTGGAAGGACACCAAAGGCAAAGCCAGACCACACAACGCTAGGTGGGCTGCTCGAGGATGCAATGATCCATGTAGTGAGGAAATAAAAGCATAAAATTTACACAAACATAACTAACAGCAAAAGCTCCAAACACTGAAACTAAATAAACCTGAGACAGAGGTCAGGTGCTCAAAGCTTAAAGAAGAAAGGTAAAAGCAAATAAAGAGTGCCAAGTGATTTCATACGAAGTGCCCTGGGTAAGTTTTCTGAGGAAATGAACAGCCAAAATGAGTTGGAGAGATCACTGGACAAAGTGCCAATGGAAAAGGGCCAGAAGACCATGGGGACCAGGCGTGACTTGGATTGTTGTAAATCTTCATTCCTGGCAGCATGATTAGCTCTGTCACTGCCTGGACTGGAACAAAAGTACTTAGAGGGAGCCACTTAAGAGCCATTCTGCTCCTAGAGATGAGAACATCCACCTAAGTGTGCAGAGCCCAGGGAATCATTTCATGAAACACTGGGTTATCAAAAAGGATGGAGGCAGGGGAAACACTTTTAAATAGACTTTGATATGAGCTTTAGAATTTGGACTTGCAGTTTTGTATTTGGACACATAAAGCAAAAAGAGAAAGGAGCCCTAAATAATTCTGGAGCTTTTCTAAAGGAATGATCTGTTCCAGTTTGCTGGGTAGCACTAACACTACAGGTGCCTGAGGTGCAAATTTATGAAGGCACTCACTCTTATGGTTGTGCTAATGGGTCCCCAAAGCAAGTAAACCCCCCTCCAAAGACCTGCATTGCACTCAATTTCAGAATGGTGAAGTTCCAATATTTGCCTTAGTTTTGTTTACTTGTGCTGTTAGTCTCACTCCCAGAAGGATAAAACTATCCACAGACTTTCACTAGTGTTTATACAGTGAGTTAAAAGGAATTTTGCTTGCTAAAATAACAGCCAATATATTATTCAAACAGTATTTTCCAGATCTTTTTGTGCTCTGCAATGGTTATCTTATCTCATTTTAACAATCACAACCCCTCTATGATGTTAGTCCTTTCATTAGCTCCATTTCATAGATGAGAAAATTTAGGCATAGATCACCGTATGACTGGCAGGGTGAAACTGGTGGGTTAGCCTAGGGCCCTCATAACTAACCTCTAACCTACAGGCACAGAATTTTTTTTAACAAAAAATCAAATGCCTTTGATGAGATCTTTAAAGTCACCACTCTTTACGTTATTAGGCAATGTATTTATCCATGGATCATATCTGAGGAGCAAACTTGGTACAAATACTAATGACTCCATTTTAATGTTCTTTCATGGGGTTTAAACAGTGAGAATCACCAGCCTCTGGAACTATTTACTTCTACAGAGCAGCTGTAAAAAAGCTTTAGTCTAATATTACCTTAAGAAAGTTACTGAACCTCTCTGTGTCTCAGTTTCCTCATTTGAAAACTAGGGACAATCATATCTGCCTCGCAGGATTATTGTGAGGATTTAGACAGAGATTGTATATCAGGCACTCAGGACAGTGCCTGGCGTATAGTAAGTGCTTGACAAGTGACAATTGTTAGAGTGTTTTTTTCACCTCATTACAATCTGGATGAATTCTAAAGATCCTTGTAGTTACCCCAACATGCTATGCTTCTATCGTTCCAATATTTTCTCATAGCTGTCAAGACATGTATTTTATAACGCTGGCTCAATTCTCCACCTATCCCAAATATTCTTTCCTGAAATATACTCTTCTCCTTCAGAATATTCCATTATGCCATTTCTAATCAATTCTGCACAAAATTCATACTTTGTTTTACTATTTTCTAAACAACTGCTGTCTTGTCAGTTTAGCATAAAGAATTCTAGATCATGCCAGGTCAGTGATTCCATGACTTTCCTAAACTAGGACTATGGACCTGCTTCAAAGGTTGTATAATGACCACTGAGGTCCCATCAGCTCTGACTATGAATTTTACAAGCTCTTCAATCGAACTGCAGTGTCCTCAAGGTAACTTAAAGTCATTTGTGCATTGTCAGCTACGATTAGCCTGACAATATGAGAAAGAGTCATAATTCACACTGGCGAGGACTCAAAAGCACAGCAGAGGTGGAAATACGCACATCCTGGGGGCTTCTCCTTCTCACAAGCTTTGGTGTTACCTCCACAGGGATTGAAATCCCAGCTCAGACTCGGACACCTTGTCCTCAGCTTCTGGTCTTCCTAGAGGGCATTGTGAGGGGTCAGCATATTAGCCTCTAATAAGGTGTCTGACATAAAACAGTTGTTTAAATGTGGTAGTGATTACCATTCACCTTTCCTAATAAATACCAGCAGAACATTATACTTAGAAAAGGCTTTTAACTCATGTTTACTAATGAACAGACATGACAGTCATCAACACTGCTAGGGAGGCATTTTGGGGCCAAGTAACAAAGAGATCACTTCAACCTTAGAGATCAACTCGGTCAGTCGTAAAAATGAGCACTGACCTTAGTGACAGAAGTCAAGGATGTTCATGGCAACAATGACATGCTTCTCCAGAGAGAAATGGGCAAATTAATTAAGTTGCATTTACAATGGGAGACTATGTAGTCACTAAAAGGGATGAGGTGAACCATGATGCTGTGATCACCTGCTCAGTGAGTCAAGGAAGCTGCAGAATCAGCAAAGAATGATTCCACTTGGGTTCAAACAAAAGCCTGCCATTCACAATGGCTGCCTCTGAGGACTAAGTCAAGAATGGTGGGATAAACATAGTTTATTTTATTTCATTCCATTCCCCACACTTGCTTTTTTTTATAATGAACATGTATTCCTTTAAAAGAAATAATATCTTAGCTCTCAAGAAAGAAAACTGGAAAGGCCTCCTTTCCCCTGTGATAATCATGACACAGCTCCATGAAGACAGGACTTAATTTCAAGCTTTCTCTCCATCTTGCTTCTGCAATACAGAGCTAGTACATCTTCAAGGTTAGACAGGCTAACTGAAGTACACTGCATTTAAGAAACACACATTTCTGTTGAGTATAAGAGCAGTGGACTATGGAGACTTAGGAGTATCTAGCAAAAACAACCTTCATGGCAACAACAATAACACACACAAACCCACTGCTGGCCCCAGAGTGTGCACACCAAATGACCTACAGGTACACCTAAGGCCAGAAAGAACCCTGTGCTTGGAAGCAGCCATTGTGAGTTGAAGTTTCAGGGCTAGTCAACAGTTTACGAGGCTGAACCTAAGTCCTGATTCCCTGTTCTCTCCTCCTCTCCTCTGGCCTTTGCTTTCATGGTGCTCTGGGTAAGTCGTTTGGTTGGCCTATGACACAGGACTCTGCAGAAAGAGGCAGGGGTGGCAGTGGATGGTCTTAGTTCTCAGCGGTCATCATGAGTATCAGAGAGTCTCTGTCCCAGATATCAAACTCATAGATTCTACAATCCCCATAGAGTGTTTTCACTGCCTCCGATGTATTCATCTGCCTGACACATCCTTTTGTCTGGGTCATGTGATTTTTTCCCCTCTAGTTTTCAAGAGTTTTCAAATCCATTTATAATTCAGCTAAGTGAAAACTCTAAAACTAATTTACTGGTGAACTCTCACCCTCACACTGCCTGATTAATCCTCTCAAAGGAAGCTTAGGTAACTGAATTAACTTATTGAATCAAAGGTTGCATTTTCAATTTGCTGAAACAGGGATAGCTCAACATTTTTGGTTAATGATCTCAAGAAATGATCGTTAGAAGCGAAAGATAAAACTCACTAATAAGGATAAAAATAGTACTTAGGTCAAGGAAAAGTTCTGATGCGTTTCACACTTTGTGAGTAGACTGCAATTTCTGTTTCACCATTAAAGAAAACATCTAGTTCCTAAAAGCCATTTACAGGAGGGCTCCATGGGTATGAGCCATGTATAGCAGCCCAGCACTTCATACTTGAATGCTGTGTTGTTGCTGTCTTGAAAATCTTAGTAATGTGTGTTTTGTAAGTGAAGTCCCTTGGGACAATGAAACACGTGCATGA